CTACAGACGTTCGTTACACGGTGCTGCTGGCACCCCTGCGTGTGCGCGCGACGCGCCCATAGAAGAGTGTGTCTCGCTTGAAATCGTTGGGAGAGAAATCCGGGCCACTCTAGATAATTCGATTGTCCTTAGAAAATGTTTGCCAGTGAGCATCATTGTATCGAAAGTGCTCCTGATTATGCTCTTAATGAGTAAATAGATATCTTTTTTTTGGCAGGAAATAATATTCAATATGACATGGAAAATTTTGCTTCGTAGTGTTACGGGCGAAAGAAGAAATTTAAATTCTCATTTTTGTTGAAACTGAGAAGAATATCTTTCGTTTGATAAAAATCTTATCTTTCCGATGTGTGTGAGGAAAAATTAGAAGAAAAAGAAGACTAAGCTTAATTCGAAGGGGGCTGAAAGTTCGAGCTGTGTACATCAAGTTGGCATCCCTGCATAGAGAAACATCGCGCTTCTAACGCGTAGAGACACAGACATATTAGTGATTCAGACTCTGGACAATTCAACTCTCATTTGAAAATTTCCAATCTCCGCAAGCGCCAATGATCGTTAGCTTAGCAACTAACCAGAGGAATTGTAATGGCATATTTGTTGCGATATAACGATTGTTTGTTACGAACAATGTGATTTCTTTGAAGGCTGGTACAAAAGTAAATGACTATTGAAGAGTGAATGAACTATGTACTTCTTGATAGATACATATATTTAAATGGTACTTTATAAAATGTTATAGATACATATATTTAAATGGTACTATATAAATTATGCTGGTTTTTTTTTTTTTTATTTTCAGAAACAAAGTTCTGAACAAATATTTGCGTGGCTTTGTAATATTTAATTTTTCAGAAATAATTTATGTGTAAGTGGTTCATTAAATACGGGAAGAGTATAGAAATTGGACAGGGTACCCTTCTCGAGACAAAATGAACAGTTTTACTTTTTTACTTTTTCTCTTTCCATTCTGTTCTATTTTCTTTTATTTCTTCCAGTCACAAATGATGACGTACTTGAAAGAAAAATTTATGGAGTTATGAGGGATCAGTTTGAGAGGGATTCTAAGAAGTCGATAAATTTTACGACTTTCTCTGTAAATTGTATACCAGAAGAACCATAAATATATCTACAAGATTGTTAGCAGATAAAGAGGAATCGTCATTTACAGATATGATCGCCGCCACAAAGTCGGGAAATGACCGATCATTAGTTTATTTATGCTCCTAATAATTCTTGTGGTGACATTTTAAGCTTCGGTATTTTCCAATTTAATATAACTTTCAGAGCACAATATACATATCACTTTACTCCCAAAATATTGGAAAATATTGGATTGTAGTCCCAAGTACTGAATTTTCTGCCCTGACCAAAAGTTTCTCGGTCTAATATTCCATTCTCAGAAATCACAGTCAAGAATGTGTAAACAATGTAAGCAGAATAACAAATACTATTCAATCTCAGAGTAACGAATTTCTATACAATACTGTTGTGTTTCCAGACTTATATAACTAACTGTAATTCTGAAAACGATTGAGGAAACGAATGTTAAAATTCATTAAGTAATTAATATCATTTTGGATATTGGTTTGCAGTTAATTACGTTTAAACTGAAATTTAATTTACAGCCAATTAAGATCGTACGTTCCCTGCTTTTTATGTTTCGAAAGTTCTACTTTGAATAATTTTACTTAAAGTTCTAGCTGACTGTTTCTTCGAGTTAACGTTTCGAAGAATCGAAAGAAATTTTTCTCGGTTGTTTATTCTTTTTCCACTAGTCTTTTTACTTCACTGCACTTTCTAAATCGCACTCCTGCAAGTTTCTCTCCGTTGTGAATCGCGAATTCTACCAAACCGGAACGAAATTTATTACGTTTTGTTGTGCTAGCCAATATTGCAGCGAATCAATTGAACCGCTAATAAGATTAATATTGTAGAGTTTGTTTATTTTTTTTTTTTTTT